ATGCTTGGTATAAAGTGGAGGCTTCATACGGCATATAGACCCCAGAGTTCTGGTAAGGTAGAGAGAATGAATAGAACTATTAAGAATCAGTTGGCTAAAATGTGTCAGGAAACCCAACTTAAGTGGAACGTTCTCTTGCCCATAGCTCTATTGCGAATCCGTAGTACACCTACCAGAAGGATGGGCCTCTCTCCTTTTGAAATCATGTACGGGCGACCACCTCCCGTGCTTGGTAACTTAAGGGGGGATTTGAGTCAGTTGGGAGAAGGAATTACCCGGCAGCAGGTTGTAGAGTTGGGTAAGACTATGGAGGAGGTACAGAAATGGGTACAAGATAGATTACCTGTGAATATTTATCCCCCAATTCATAGTTACCACCCAGGCGACCAAGTGTGGATTAAAGAGTGGAATAATGTGCCGTTAGGGCCCAAGTGGAGAGGTCCTTATGTTGTTCTTCTGTCTACCCCTACAGCGATAAAAGTAGCCGAAGTGGCTCCGTGGATACATCACTCCAGGGTTAAACCAGCAGCAGCCGATTCCTGGCAAGTTACAGCAAATCCAGAGAATCCCTGCAAGATCCGGTTAAAACGCACGACTCAGTCGGAGTGACGAGGAACCTTGTAGATTACAAATTTTATTGTTTCAGAGACTTGGTAAGTGAGTGAGAAGGCCATAATAAAGCCTGTCCACTCACCAACGAGTGTATAAGTCAGGGAAAGTCTTGAGGGGACCCCTGTGAAGACGAGCAGAACTCCATTCCCTGCAGTCCTTACATCCTGGAAGCTGAGGTGCCTTCACACGGACGAAGACTGAGGATGACGACGAAAGATGTATTTTTAATAATGTTTATTTATGTGTATTTTTATATTCAGGAAGGTAGAGGTACCAACACTCCTAGCTGTGAGGTATGCATTAAGACTACAAGAACAGGTAACCATATATCCCAGACCCTAATTTGGCATTCGCAATATGAGTGTAAAGGAGATGTATCAAGATGTAGATACTTAAATATAGAATATAGTGTGTGTCATTTAGGAGTAGGAGAACCTAAGTGCTTCAGTCCTGAGTATCAACCCCGTACAATTTGGTTGACTCTCAGAAATGGAGATTCTCAGGGGACCCTAATTAATAAGACGGTATTAAAATCCGTATATTCTTCAGGTGCTCTGCTATTTGATGCGTGTAAAGCAATATCAAGTGGTAGAAAGCCGTGGAATGTATGTGGGGATCTTAGATGGGAGAGGACGTATGGGTCTAACGATAAATATATTTGTCCCAGTAGTAAAAATAAATATGTAAGTCCAAGATGCCCAAATAGAGATTATAACTTCTGCCCATATTGGTCTTGTGTGGGGTGGGCGACTTGGGGACAGACAGCAGACAAGGACATGATTGTGACTAAGTTGCCTACTAATCCATATTGTAAGTCTATGGAATGCAATCCAATCCATATACTTATAAATAACCCTGACAAGTTCTTAGATAAATATGGTAATTTATTTGGGTTTCAAATATATGGGACGGGTTTAGACCCTGGGACAATATTGTTTATAGGGATAGAGACTGATACGGTAACCTCCCAAACTCATCAAGTATACCATTCCTTTTATGAAGAGATGAGCATAGATAATAAGATCCCCCATAATGCTAAAAACTTGTTCATTGATTTAGCCGAGAGTATTGCCGGTAGTCTTAATGTTACCAACTGCTATGTGTGTGGAGGTACTAACATGGGAGACCAATGGCCTTGGGAAGCAAAGGAGGTAATGTCCGGTTCTGAGGCAGTTGACCAATTAATATCTACACAAGCCGACTATCATATGAGTGTTAGAGGTAAATCTGAGTGGAGATTGAAGACCTCCATCATAGGTTATGTTTGCATAGCGAGGAAAGGAATGATGTATAATACTTCTGTAGGAGAATTAACTTGTCTAGGGCAAAAAGCTTATGATGATGATACAAAGAATACAACTTGGTGGTCGGCTTCAAATGTCTCAGAACCATCTAACCCGTTTGCAAGATATGCCAATTTAAAGGACGTATGGTTTGATCTATCCATCACATCTAACTGGAGAGCCCCAGCGAATTTGTACTGGATCTGTGGTAAGAAGGCCTATTCGGAGTTACCACAGGACTGGGAAGGGGCATGTGTGTTGGGTATGTTAAAACCATCCTTCTTCTTGTTGCCTATTGAAACAGGTGAGACTTTAGGTGTTAAAGTGTATGATGTGAATCATAGGAAGAAAAGGGGACCCATAGAGATAGGTGCCTGGGAAGATAATGAATGGCCTCCCCAGCGTATTATAGATTATTATGGGCCAGCCACGTGGGCAGAGGATGGTACCTTTGGTTATAGAACCCCTATTTATATGCTCAACCGCATTATAAGGTTACAGGCGGTGGTTGAGATCATTACTAACGAGACATCACAAGCGCTCAATCTTCTAGCGAAGCATAATACCAGGATGAGGACAGCAGTTTACCAAAATAGATTAGCCTTGGATTATCTTTTGGCAGTAGAGGGAGGTGTATGTGGGAAGTTTAACCTGAGCAATTGCTGTCTTCAAATAGATGACGAAGGGCAAGCAATAGCTGAGCTTACTAGCCATATGGTTAAACTAGCGCATGTGCCTACTCAGGTATGGAAAGGGTACAATCCAAGTAGTTGGTTTGGTAGCTGGTATGAGTGGTTTGGAGGGCTTAAGGCAGTGGTAGGTGGAGTCCTACTGATTTTAATGTTGTGTCTACTCCTGCCGTGTCTTATACCCTTAGTAGTTAGGTCTGTGCAAAGCCTGATAGAAAATATAGCAGAGAGGAAGGCTGCTGCACAGATAATGGCAATTTATAAATATAAGGCTCTAGATCAGGGAGAACCAATGCAGGAAGACGAGTGTTGAAGATTCACATCATAGGATAAGTCTGGTCTGGTTCAAAGGTAACTTGTGGTGTATGCAAACCAAGGTTAAGTGATGCCTCAAGTAATTGTAAAATATCAAGAGGCATCAAAGGGGGGAATGTGGTGGAATCTCGGTAAAAATAAATTTAGTAGGCCGAGATTACCACGTGGCATGTGTACGTGCATATGCTGACGTATCGATCAGTTGGTTGCACGAGGCAAGATACGATCAGTAGTGTACGGAGCATGTGCAAGAATACAGGATGTAGTATTCCCCTCCTCCATTGTGCTGGACAAGCCATGCGGTCAAGCAGGAAGTTAATTCTTATTTGTAATGATTGGTCAAGAGAATGTGCGGGTGGAGCTTAATATGGGAGGAGTTATGTGCCTATATAGGGAGCCTGCACTATTGTTCAGGGCTCAGAACTTGCTGTATTTTTGGTGACATTAGTCCCTCTGAGTCCCGATCGGTGATCCAATAAAGAATCTCTTCCTTCCTGAAGAAACCTGTGTCCATCCCTCTGTGCTTTGCTTCCGTCAGTTTCTCCGGTATCAGCTCCTGTGAACTTGCTGCATACTGACCTTCAAACCTGCTCTTAAAAATAACCTGCTCCACCCTTACCTATACTTCAAACCAGACTGCCTCTGTAACCAGCCTTCCACTGTTACCAGCCTTCCACTGTTACCATCCTGCCTCTGTTACCTGGAATTTACAGACATTCATTATTATTGCAAGTAACCTGTTCTGTGGCAAGTATCCTGTTTGGTGGCATATTGACTAAAGTCTGTTTTCATTCAAGTTTTATAATATGTCTAAAAACACTAATAAAGTACCTGAAGTCAACCCTGGCATAAGTCTCCTATCTGACCTGCAAAAGATCATGACAATATCTCCTAGCGTCTGTGTCCCCATGTCTCTGTGTCCCTTGTGTCTGTGTCCCCATTTCTCCCAGTGTCCCCAAATGTTTCAGTGTCCCCATGTCTTCCAGTGTCCCCATATCTGTATCCACAAGTGTGCCCAAGTGTCTCAGTACCCCCATGTCTCCCAGTGTCCCCAAGTGTCTCAGTGTCCCCATGTCTTACTGTGACACAGGACACACTGAGACATGGGTACAATGTCTTTGGGCAGACATTCCCCCTTTTTGGGCATGTTCGCCCCTTTTTGCAGTACTGGTCATGTTATTCGGGGTCAGTTGCCCACCCTTTTAACCTGCCCATTGACTTCCTGCTTCACTGGATACTGCTGCTAGGGAGTATGGATTCACTTGAAAAATGAAAGCATATTAGAAAGAGATTAGCATATATTGTGTGTTTTCTCATAGCTGCACCCTGTGAGTTTCCCTCCAATACCATCTCCATCAGATACACGACGCTTGAGAGGTATAACTGTTTTAATATTTTTGGTCGATAATAATCTGTTATTAGGCCCCATCATAATTGTCAGCCCACTGGGCTCTTAATCTGGCCCTGCATATATATATAGAGGTGATCATTCTCGTCCCATCTGGGGGGGGTCTGCTCTCCGGTGTCCCCAAGGACAGCTATTCGCCAGGAAAAAAACGCGGAGTGTCCCATCTGGGGTGCCAACTGATTTGGATCAAACAAACTGTTTGATTATTTGTCTATCTATTCCTTTCTAAATTGATTGTGCGCATGTCTTCTAGAAGTAAATCACACCGGACACATTGCAGGTTTATGAAGGACTTCAGAATAGCCTTTATTCCAGGGGGTACGATTCCCTTTTAAAGCAGAAACACGTCATGTACAGAGTCACAGTTAACATAAAGTATACATTCATCAATTGGTTAGCAGTCTAAGGCAGGGGTGTCAAACATGCGGCCCCCCAGATGTTGCTGAACTACAACTCCCATGATTCCCTGGCTATCTGTTTCATTGAAAGAATCATGGGAGTTGTAGTTCAGCAACATCTGGGGGGCCGCATGTTTGACACCCCTGGTCTAAGGGGTTTTGTCTAAACCCACCCTACTGGGCGTGACCTCAGAATCATCACTAGCAGCCAGTTTTACACAATGAACACAGATACACAGAATAAATAGACATTAGTAAATAGACATTTTATCCATTCAAGTATTTTGTCCATAACAAACACCACAAGACTTGACGTAGTCTTTGGAGTCTTGTTTGATGTTGGATCACCAGAAATAGCAGTTGATACTTTTCAGTGTCTTAGTGATTCCTCCATGACCTGCGGCTAGTGAATCGTGGAAAAGGTTGAGAACGTCAGGTTGTAGAGGTGAGGGTACCAGAGGCCTTGTCTTGTAGACAGAGGAGCGTGTACAACTGGTGGCTCAACATTCATGTTTCGGATTTGATCTAGGATTTGTGTTGCAAGGAAGTGCTGTGGTGACAGAATATTGTCTGAGATGGAGGGACAGACTATCTGCCTTTAGGTTCTTTGAGCTGGATCGATAAGTGATCGGTATAGGGAAACAAGAAAAGTAAAAAGTCCACTGGGCTTGGCGTGGTCAGAGGTGTTTGGCAGAGCATAGATATTACAGGTTACGATGATCAATGTAGACTGTGACCTGAAAATAGGACCCCTCCAACAGATGTCACCATTCCTCCAAGGCACACTTAATTGCTAGGAGTTCTCTCTCTCCCACATCATAGTTCTTTTCTGGGGAGTCAGTTTATGGGAATAGAAGGCTAGGGATGGGGCCTGGTTGCCCGCCTGCTGCCTTTAGACTATGGCCCCATGTTGAAACGCTTGATTTTCCCATGTGAAGACATGAAAACCGGGTCATTCGGTGCTTGCCCTGTTTGAGTGGTGATACCCCAGATAGCTATGCCATGGAACCCATTCGTATAATGAAAGACTATGGGAAAGACTTTGGCTCCATGGCAAATGAACTGTATGTGTGTGCTCTGAGCGCCATTCAGTAATAATGTGCGCTCAGATCTGAGCTATCTGGGGATATGTTGAATGTACCTGTTTTATGCAATGGCTGCACAGTTATATATTTTTATGTATTTTATTGTCTTTTGCTGCCATGTGTTCAATTGAGTTTTGCCTCTGTACTTGGAGATAATTGGATTACTTCCCAATTATCTCCAGGATAGAAGACTCTATGGAACTGGTTTTGGGCAGAAAAGCCATGCTTCATTTGGTTACAAAGGACTACGATCTCTCTTTTGAACCACTGGTCCAATTTGTATGATTTTGACGTATGTTTGTATTTGGAGTATGCAGATTCCGAACATGTAAGTTTTATGTGAATGTGATGCATACTTTTAAAGTTATGAATAATGTGGAAAATCTGTATTTCTCTGCCTGTGATAATTGCATTACCCATTGTGTAAGGTAATTGTATCACAGGCAGAGGGGAGGATTTTTTGTGGGAGTGTCTGAGTGTATTGTACGTGTTTATCGGTTGTTTTCCAAAACCCTGTGGGTGGTACTAATGTGTATATAAGAACACTAAACCCACAGCTCTGTCTGTTCCTGCTTGACCCTCAAAACGGAGCCTTGTCTCGTTCTTTGGGGGATTTATTGTATGCTGTTCCAGTTTGACTGCTAGGAGTGTAAACCTATTTGTATGGTTTTTCCTAGTCAGCTGTTTACAGCATTTATATGCTTGAGAGCATTCTAATGCTTCTCCGGTTCGGTGGATTGGTGTCTACAGTAGCTGCCTGTGTCTCTGGAAGGGGAAGATCTCCTAAATGGCTTTTAACCCCTTTTATGCCTTGGGGCGCCGTTACAGAGGCGCTCATCCTTTTCTCCTCGTTGGGACAGGATTCCTCTGACAGCTATGTCGGAAGCATCAACTTCAAGAAAAAAGGCTCTGGAGGTGTTAGGTTGTATCAGTATAGGAGCTTGCATAAACAGTTTCTTGAGATGATTGAAGGCCTCTTGTGCCTGGGGTGTCCAAGCAAACTTCTCTAGTTTCTTAATAAGAATGGTAATAGGAGCACATACTTGTGAGAATCCACGTATAAACCGTCGATAAAAGTTAGCAAAGCCCATAAACCGTTGTACTCCTTTTTTTTATCCTTGGGACTGGGCCAATCCAGTATGGTTTGTACTTTGCATGGATCCACCTTCACGGTGTCAAAGAGACATTTCTCCAGCTTGGCATACAGCCCATGGTCTCGAAGGCATGGTCTCTTCACATGCTGTTGTTCCAAAGTATCCAAAAATATTAGGATATCATCTATGTAAATAACAAGGAAGGAGTCCAGGATATCTCAGAAAACATCATTAAGGAAATGTTGGAAAGTAGCAGGTGCGTTACAGAGACCAAAGGGCATAACCAAGTATTCAAAATGGCCGTAACTGGTTCAGAAGGCCATTTTTCCACTCGTCTCCTTCTCGCATGTGCACCAGATTGTACTCCCCATGTAGGTCAATCTTGGTGAATACAGATGTTTTTTGTAACCGGTCCAGTAGCTCTGGTATTAGCCCTGTTCTTGACTGTTATATTATTGAGGGGACGGAAATCAACACAGGGATGAAGGCCTCCATCTTTTTTGCCAACAAAAAAGATCCCAGCTGGAGAAGTTGAGGGCCGTATAAATCCTTTGGCAAGGTTTTCATCAATGTATTCTTTCAGATACTTCAGTTCTGCTTTCGCGAGTGGGAAGATGCATCCGTATGGAATGGGTGCTCCAGGGGGTAGGTCAATGGGGCAATCATATGGGTGCTTTGGTGGTAAGACTTCTGCACTTTTTTATTGAATACATCTGCATACTTCACATACTATGACTGGACAACAGACAGGTGTTAATGCAGAGTGATAAGGAGAACGTGAGGACACCTTTTTGACAATCTATGGATGGGTTATGGGTTCAAAGCCAGGGTAAACCAAGTATGAGAGGGAACCTCGGAAAAGATATGTTACGATTGCCTCCGGTCTAGCAGGAGGTTGGATCGCTTAGATGTCCTGGTTCCTGAAGTCAGAGGGTTGAACGGTGCTTACAGAGACCTGTAAGTGTAGAATATCCCACTAGCTATAATAAAGCTAGGATTCCCGGTTCCCTACAACACGAGTCGAGGCTGCGAGTTGAGGGTAAAACGAACTGGGCTTTAATGGCACACAGGCATGGCAAGCCCCCTCTGGACCTGATGGGATACAGGTACAATACAAGGATTCAACCAATCATATTACACTGTATCATTCATACTAGTACCCACTCAGCTTGGAGATAATGAGTCCAACGGTTATACAATCTAATTATCTCCAAGCGCCCAAAAGACCATGCTTTATTTTGTCCTAGAAAACAGCATAAAAATACATAACTTTAATATATTAATGGGAATATAGTTCATTCGGTAGCTCAGATCTGGGCGCATCAGGTATACGAATTGCGCCCAGATCCCACAAACAGAACAGAGAGTTTCTGCCATATAAAATCTTATTTGGTACTTTTGTCACAAACTCCTGATGGTGGCCATGTTTTAAGGCTGGTCAATGGACAGCGGGACCTTGACCTAGAACTCATGGAGCGGGTGTCGGCTACATATTTACACGAATCCCCGCTCTCAGTATGGTTGTCCCGGCCGTTCGGGAAACGAACGGAGACCGTCCGGAAGGGGGTACTTAACCTGCGGTTAACCGCAAGATCAACATTCTAATTGAGGCCACACACCAGAATGTAGGTGCTCCTCGTTCGTGAGTCTTTTGGTAGTTTTCCCTTCGGTGAAATGTATCCGAATGTGGATACTCTGCGACCGTCAATTAGTTTGATTGTAGGGTAGTTGGTTATTCGGTACTTTCAGAGGTGACCAGGGTTAAGTGGCGGCACACGCCAAGGGCTGGGTGGTCCGTCGTTCGTATATACGAATGTGTAGTTATAACGGTTCGTGGAGTGAGTTCGTACAGTCTGAATCCCGAACATAGTATGGGTTTTAACAAAAGGGGGTTACTTTATAACAATTTGGAGGGTTCTTGTAACAGGCCACATGCCAGAATGTAGGTGGTCCTCGTTCGTGAGTCTTTCGGTAGTTTCCCCTTCTGTGAAATGTATCCGAACGTGGATGCCCTGCGACCGTCAATTAGTTTATGGTTAATCGCAGACCGCAGCTCCTTTGGTGATTAATTGGAGGCACACTCTACTCGTAGGGTGGTCGGTTATTCGGTACTTTCAGAGGTGACCGGGGTTAAGTGGCGGCACACGCCAAGGGCTGGGTGGTCCGTCGTTCGTATATACGAATGTGTAGTTATAACGGTTCATGGAGTGAATTCGTACAGTCTGAATCCCGAACATAGTATGGGTTTTAACAAAAGGGGGTTACTTTATAACAGTTTGGAGGGTTCTTGTAACAAGGTATAAGATCTAGACAGAGAGATTCAACATGGCATTCTCCAATATGCAGACTGATGGGTTCTGTCTTATGACAGATGGCGCCTATCTTTATGGTATTTTTATCTAAAACATATAGCAGCAGCGGGTAGGACTTCTTCCAAATGGGTGTATTCATGGTGTGTGCTGTGGTTATATCTAGGAAACATCCACTAGCCCCTGAATCAATAATACTGTTGCTGTAATAGGATGGGTTTTTTTTGGTTTTTTTTCCCACTGTAGAGAGAGAGAGACAGACAGGTAAGTATACATAGCAGGGGCTGCTGTATTCAATGAAAAATGTGCAATGGTTCCTTTACCCTGTGATGTTGTTGGGCGAACCGGGCAGTCCCGGAGTTGATGATTAGGTTTCCCACAATACAAGCAGAGACCTAGAGAGCGACACCTTTTCCATTCCTCCTCTGTTAGGGAGCGGAAAACCAGACCAATCTGCATAGGTTTCTCAGGCATGAAAGGAGACGCAGAAAAAGCAGATGCTCCAGAAGAATCCGTGAGTTGTAAGGAAGGCAGAGCTTGTGTTCTTTCCATTCTCTGTTCGTGGAAGCACCTATCTAGCTGGGTTACCAAAAGGAACAGCTCTTCCAGGGAAGCTGGGACGCCCACTCTTGCCAACTTATCTTTCAGGGATTCTGATAGTCCTATACGGAACTGTTCAACAAGGCCTATTTTGTTAAGGCCTGTGTCAGGAGCTATTTCACGGAAATCCGTTACATAATTGCCCGGAAGGACGTCTGTGTGGCAGGGCCTGTTCGTCAATTGCTGTGTGTATTGCCCGTATTGTATTGTATTCCTGTTTTCTACCTACTCACAGTTCGGGAGAGCCCAGACCAACAGGTTCTGTTAGCCTTCCGAACAGGGATCACCTCAATAACCCATTTAGAATGTATATTTAGAATGTTCACACCTCGTTGACGAGGTGACCCTGGGTGGCGGCCCGTTAAGTAGACGAACGCCATCCAGGGGAAGCATTAGCAGACTGCATCCCGCCTTGTTCGGCACCTGAACGAGGACCTCCCCAGTGGCCTCGGAGTGTTCACACCAATCAATTAGAATGTTGACAACTTGCAACATAAGTGTGAAACGCGAGGGGAAATAACTAACGGGCGCTTCTCTGGGTGGCCACCATTCATGCAAATGAATGCCAGCTAGGCGGAGCGTTCATGTCCCGAAAGGAGACACTTCCCTTGCCTGGTTTCATCCAGGCACCCCACGAGCGGAGACGGTTCATGACGGATACCTTCTGGGTGTCCCTGAGATTGGTGGGGACACTCTTAGGGGACAATGGCAGTTTGTCCTTGGGAGCCCAGGAGGGGGGAATCTTTCCCACGCCGGGACTCCCAGGTACAGAGGGTCCTGGGAAGACCCCCTGCCATGGGAAGTGGGAAGGGTGGCAGGAACTGGGGACAAAGGGACAGGAGTTCTTGTCACACACACAGGGCCCCGGAAGTGGGGGCCCTGGGAGGAGACACTGAATGGCGGGAACAAGGGACATCGGGACAAGGGGTCCGGTTCTGTCCTATAACCCCTGGGAGGGGGAGGGTCCTGGGAGGGGACATTGCCTTTTACTTATGATTCACCCGTTTCATGGGGAGAGTATACAGCCGAGTGTGGCCAATAAAGTGTTGTTGTACCCCTGGAACTGTGTGTCGTCCAGTTACTGGGGAAGATGCGTCTCTTAATGCATTTATAGCGGGGTTAACTAGCCGGGTTACCCAGGGCCCACTATAGTCTGTTTTGGAGTAAGGAACATAAGGCGGCACTGGCTGCAGAAGGTCTCAGAGGATCATCATAAAGTGTGCACATGGAGGCAGTAAATGACTCCCAGGACTCCAAATGTGGACTATTGTTGTGATGAGCAGATAAAGTCAGGAAACAGAGGGAAACAAATGCTAGGAGTTCTGAGGCAGGCAACAAAACAACCAAGCACTGACTGAAAGATGTGTTTAGCGAAAGTAACCTCTCCACTGGTACTTGGAAGGGTCTGCATGCCAGCCTCTTGCCCCAGGATTATGGGCCTTGCAAAAAGACATGATAAAAAGTGACTTCCATTGAAAAACTGCTATAGCACTACAAGGGATTGCTATAATCACACTACTCCCTTGGATTCCCTGAGCTCTTCTAAGAGCTATTCCTGCTTGACTCTCTGGAGAAAGAGAGGTTCACCCACTGGAACCTGGAGCCTTGTTGTAGGTCCAGGGTGGGTAGGAGATAGCGAGACCCAGTGGCGTACTAAGGGGGGGGCGGTCCGCCCCAGGTGCCAGCCGGGTGGGGGGTGCCTTGGGAGGGGGCGCCCCCACCCCCCCCCGCTGCAGCCGCCCGAGCGCTCTGTAGAGAGCCTCAGGCGGCTGCAGCTTTGCCCGGGCGGTGCGTCCATGAGGGCGGACCACACTGCCCGGGCGCAGCCTGAGGAGAGGAGCTGACAGGAGGGAAGCGCTCAGCGCTCCCTCCTGTCAGCCCCTCTCTGTAGTGTGGCCGAGCCCTGCAGCATGGTCCGCGGGTACAGGGAGCATCTCTCTCCTGTACCCGGCCGGACTAACAGGAAGTGCACACAGAGTGTGCACTTCCTGTTAGTCCGGCCGGGTACAGGAGACAGCTGCTCTCTGTACCCGTCGGACCATGCTGCAGGGCTCGGCCACGCTACAACTGGAGGTAGGTGGGGTGAAATAAGGAGAGATGGGGGGTGAAATAAGGAGAGATGGGGGGTGAAATAAGGAGAGATGGGGGTGAAATAAGGAGAGAGATGGGGAGGTGAAATAAGGAGAGGGGGGTGAAATAAGGAGAGGGGGTGAAATAAGGAGAGTGGGGGTGAAATAAGGAGAGATGGGGTGAAATAAGGAGAGATGGGGTGAAATAAGGAGAGATGGAGGGGTGAAATAAGGAGAGAGATGGGGGGGTGAAATAAGGAGAGAGGGGGGGTGAAATAAGGAGAGAGGGGGGGTGTGTGACAGAACCATCTGTCTGCTTGTATTTTAATTGCATTCGTCTGTTTGTCTCCCGTTCGTATGAATGGCTGGTTTCTATAGCCCAGCCATTCGAATGACTCTTTTTCCCGAACAAACCTGCCGAACGGACGGCCACCCAGGAGAGAAGTGTGCTGCTGGTTAACCTATTGATCCCAATTAGAACGTTGTGGTTAACCGCAGACACTTCTCAATTAAACCGAATTCAGGGTGGTCATCGTTCGTATGTCGACCACGAGGCAGCGGCCATTTTAAACCCAGCGGTGTTTGGCTCTATTTCTATGGAACTAAAAACAGACACTTTTTCTGCCGAACACCGCTGAAACAACGGAGCGCCTGGCTGCCTCCACGAAACCATACGAACACCGGCCGTTCGGGAGATTTGGAGCATACGAAAAGACTTAACCCAGATAGCCTTCCCATGAAGTCATTCGTATACCGAAAGACTGTAAGAACTTTGACTCCATGGCGATTGAACTATGTGTGTGGGATCTGAGCGCTATTCACTAATAATATGCACTCAGATCCAGGCTATTTGGGGATATGTGATGTGAATGGGAAATGTTCGGTTTTTGTGAAGTTATATATTTTTATGTCTTTTGTGATTTTATATTTAAGATGGCGACTGGCTTTGTCCTGGAGTTAATTGAGTTACTTGGTAATTAACTCCAGGACAGAGGGGAGGGAATCATAATGCACTGTGGGTAAAATCTGTGGCTGTGTGTCTGGAATTTCCCCATATCTGTCTGTCATTTAAGTCTCCCATTTGGTCCCCTAGGGGAGTGTCCACCAAGTGGGAGACCTGCATAAATACGGGCAGGTAGCCCACAGTAAAGCCAGATCCTGTTTGACCCTTCTGTCTCGTTATTGGGGGGACTTCTTCTTCACGTTTAGAGACTGCTGGATGGAACGGAAGCCGCTTGGTGAATATTGTTGTTCGGCGGCTAGCAGCGTGTATTGCCGTTCGGGAGTTTGGAGCCTTTCACTGATCTCGGTCGGGAGATTGCCGTTTCCCCTGCATTTGGTTCGTATACTACAGATTAAGCGAACAGAGACTGTTGCTGCAGACGGGGAAGGTCTACTAAACGGCGGTTTTGCCTAAAGACACTGGAGGTGTCTTAACAGGGTGAAATAAGGAGAATGGGGTGAAATAAGGAGAGATGGGGTGAAATAAGGAGAATGGGGGGTGAAATAAGAGATGGGGTGAAATAAGGAGAGATGGGGGTGGTGAACAAGGAGAGAGATGGGGTGAACAAGGAGAGAGATGGGGGTGAAATAAGGAGAGATGGGGGGTGGAATAAGGAGAGATGGGGGTGAAATAAGGAGAAATAAGAGAGAGATGGGGTGAAATAAGGAGAGAGATGGGGGTGAAATAAGGAGAGATATGGGGGTGGAATAAGGAGAGATTGGGGGGAATAAGGAGAGATGGTGAGGGAATAAGGAGAGATGGAAGGGAATAAGGAGAAATGGGGGAATAAGGAGAGATTGGGAGGGGGGATAAGGAGAGATTTGGGGGGATAAGGAGAGATGGGGATAAGGAGAGATTGGGAGGGGAATAATGAGAGATCGGGGGGGATAAGGAGAGATTGGGAGGGGGGAAGGAAATTGGAGAGGGGGGATAAAGAAGGAAATTGGGAGGGGGGAAGGAAATTGGAGAGGGGATAAAGAAAGATTGGGAGAGGGGGATAAAGAAAGAAATTGGGAGGGGGAGAGAGAATGAAATTGGAGGGGGGGAGAGAAGGAAATTGGAGGGGGGGAGAGATTGACATTCATCACACACAATGCACCCCTTCCACACAGAAAAACACACAATGCATTACGCACACTGCATTACACACACAGACACACATACACAAGCAATGCAACCGTTACACACAATGCATCCCTTACACACACAGAAACACACAATGCATTCATTACACACACTCAATGCATCTCATACATACACAGAAACACACCTTGCAGCCCTTACACATACAAACACAGATTCACACAATGCATTCCTTACACACATATCAGGACATACCGTACACACTCCACCCCCTGTGAACAAACTCATTGGTGGAACATGAAGGTGGACCCTGGGACCCAGATCTTGAGCTGTGTAAAGGGCCCCCAAAAAATGGAGCTGCTTCCCTTTCTCCCAGAGCATTGATTTTGTGACCACAGTTACAATCCGCCTCCAGAGAGCCTGTTCTACACCAGACCAGTGGAGCCAGACTGCAGCTAGAGCCCGTCATCATCCTCATCTGGTTGTAAGTAGGCAATCTAGTATATTATTCGTGGCACTAATCTCTAATTTACCTCACATTAAAGAAACACTATAGTCCCCAGAACCACTGCAGCTTAATGTAGTGGTTCTGGTGTCTATAGCCTGTCCCTGCAGGCCTTTTAATGTAAACACTGCGGCACTGCAGCACTGGCATTAGATAACATGGCAAATCATATGGGTGCGGCATTGTGATGTCAGTTGGGGGAGGCGGCAAACTTTACATTTGCCTAGGGCGGCAAAAATCCTTGTACCAGCCTTGGCTGGAGGGGGTTGTGTGAGCTGTGGCTAGTGGTAGTTAGGGTGCATGGAGGAAAAGTGGGGCGGAACTAAGCAAAATCGGAGGCGGAGCCAAACTGGCGATTTGGGGGGGGCAAGGGGGTGCCAAGCACAGGACCCGCCCCGGGTGCCAAATGTTCTAGGTACGCCCCTGGCGAGACCCCAACCAAGCTGCGGTGGTTCGTGGAGTCTGAAGTGCTGATGATGTCTGGTGGAGTGCTTGGAGTCCTCGGGGAGCACTAGGAGCCGGCAGAGGTACCCAACCGGGGTACAGGAAGCTCTGTTACAGTGTGTTCTGCTTATAAAGGAGTGGCTCAATCACATAACCTGGTCTCACCTGTAGGAGGGGTTACCTGAGGTCAATGTGACTGAGTGTGGGACTCCATCTTGAAAGCATCATTGTCATTGCTCTGCCCCTTAGCCTCCTTCAACCTCTGACTTGCAGACCAGTCTCCTCATGCAGCGTCTGCCATCTTGGAATTCTGGAGCAATCACTCTGAGTTTCCTGACTGTGAATCGAGGTTCAGAGTATGTAGGCTGAGTGCAGCAGCCACAGGCACTATAACTATAACAGGCATTATAACTATAACTGCTGCAGAATGACCTCCAGGGTGTTGTGGACACTCTAGAACAGGTGAGTACCGTTGGCGAATGTGACATGTGGACAACTCCATGTGCACTGACACCAAGTTCCATTCTGGCTTCAAAACCAAAGCAGAACACTCTACTTCTCACTCTATTTATATCCTACACCCAGTTTGGGGTTCTGTTGAACATTATATGCTATTTTATTATGCTGGTTTTGCCTACAACCTAATTGACAAAATGTTACGTCTGTTTCTGTGCCAGGTGCATGCAAAGTTTATTTCCTGATTAGTAAGCATCTCAATTTCTTCGGCCTGCATGGGTTGTGACTGAACAGACACCACTGCATAAAAGCTGGTAGAAGGTTAGCCAGAGGAGATTGGTGAACAGTTCCCAAGGATCATGTGGCACAAAACCTCCAGAAAGGTCGCTACAATACACAAACACAAGGATAAATACGAAAGGATCCTCCTGAAATGATACATTTATCATCATTAAATAACCAATTATCTAGGCCAAAAGTCAAATCAAACCCAAAGTTAAACCACTAGATGGTGTATCATGGACTTCTCTCAGCTTTGTTTGTATTTAATGCAATTTGTCTATTACCCCTTGGAACACTTTTTGTACAGATGAGAGGGGCATTCATTCTCTATAAACGCTTGATTGGACAAGATGAGTACTAAAACATTTCCTTAAGCTAACAGACTAAGACTATACATAATGTGAACACATTCATATGGTGATAATTCCCAATTTTACAACATGACCGGAGGCTTTGTATTTTGCATATCTCTCTTTACTAACTCCAAACAGCAGCAAAGAAACACATAGAAAAAAAGAGTAGGATGTACATAAGGCAACATGACCTCATCATTTCCTCTTTCTTTGCTGCTATTTCTTTGCTGTTATTTATTGTGTTTCTACCTTATTCTTGGTTTCTGCCCTCTCCCATCCTTGCTCTCACTTCTCTAGGCTTTGGGGGGCTTTTAGGTCTTACTGGGGTTGCATGTTAATGTTGAATTAGGCCATTTATATAAGCTGTTAATAGGGATTTCATCCATAACCTTATATTAACTATTAGAGCATGGATTAGTGCTCTCTGTCAGGGCTGTGGCCTGCACTCAAGGAGTGAGACCCCTGCTGTATTTATCCTGCACTGTGCTACTGTAGGGAGACATGCTATTACAGCGTCTGTTAACCCCCATAACCTTGTATTATCTATTAGAGCATGGATTAGTGCTCTCTGTCAGGACTGTGGCCTGCACTCAATGGGTGAGCCCCATGCTATATTTTTACTGCACTGTGATACTGTATGGAGACATGCTGCTACAGCCTCTGGTAACTGCTGGACAGGAATATCTCCTATAACCTTGAATTAACTGTTTGAGCACAGATTAGTGCTCTCTGTCAGAGCTGTGGCCAGCACTAAAGGGTTCATACCCTGTGCACCTGGAATGATGCCCCTACTATATATTTTACTACACTGTAATACTGTATGGAGACAGGCTGTTACAGTCTCTGTTAACTGCTGGATATGATTTCCAGGACATACTGCTTAAAGGAATATCTCCCATAACCTTGAATTAAAGGACCACTATAGGCACCCAGACCACTTCAGCTTAATGAAGTGGTCTGGGTGCCAGGTCCAGCTAGGTTTAACCCTTTTTTCTATAAAAATAGCAGAGTTTCAGAGAAACTGCTATGTTTATAATAGGGTTAATCCAGCCTCTAGTGGCTGTCTCATTGACAGCCGCTAGAGGCGCTTCCGCGCTTCACACTGTGATTTCCATAGGAAAGCATTGAGAATGGCCTGCACTCAATGAGTGAGCACCCTGCCGCGCATGCGCATTCAGCCAATGACGTCGCTATGGAGGAGGAGAGGAGGAGGAGAGTCCCCTGCCCGGCGCTGGAGAAAGATGTAAGTTTAACCCCTTCCTCCCCCTAGAGCCAGGCGGGAGGGGGACCCTGAGGGTGGGGGCACCCTCAGGGCACTATAGTGCCAGGAAAACGAGTATGTTTTCCTGGCACTATAGTGGTCCTTTAACTGTTCGAGCACAGATTAGTGCTCTCTGTCAGAGCTGTGGCCAGCAATTAAGGGTTCATTCCCTGTGCACCTGGTGTGATGCCCCTACTATATGTGTGCTGCACTGTGCTACTGAGTGGAGACAGGCTGCTACAGCCTCTTTACTGCTGGATATGATCTCCAGGACATACTGCCTAAAGCAAGCATGTCAAACTCAAAGTCTAGCATGGGCCACATAAACAAGGTTTTAGTTTATGTGGGCAGCACAAAAAAAAACAACACATTTTCATAGAACAACATTGTTGTTTCATGACTGCTGACTCCCAACATCCCATTGCCCAATAACATACGTGAGACCTAGGTTTGTTGGGTAAGGGCAACGGCCACAGCTTTATTTATTTTAAACATCAAATGCCAGCAAACATATTTGTGTCAGCTGTTGGAATGCTTCCCCAACAGAAAGCTCTGCCATGAGATAATCCAAGAGTCCCGCTCTCAGCAGGCTTTGACTCCCCAAGCCGCCTCTGCACCTTCTTCCACTGTACTGCGCTGGCCAGGACTCCTGGAAGCTAGGATCCCCAAACTTCTTCTGACAGACTGGTGAGTCCCGAACCCCTTAGCTCTGGCATCAGTCAGCTCCTCTGTTCCTTTGCAGTCCAAAGAGGTACAAGAACATCATAAAAAAAGAAAAACAATAAAATTAATGTTTTCTTTCATCTCTTCTGTGCTACCAGCTTTCCTACTTCGGGGGGAAATCTTGTTCACAGTGATCACTTTCAAAACTGACCCAAGGTGAATGTCTGTAATTCTGGATCTGACAGGAGACTTATTGCCTTTCATAATTGTAAATAACTGCTCGCACCGATAAGTACTTCCAAACATGGAAATAATTTCATATGCAAGTTTTCGAGTATTTTTATACCTGACTGGCAAATATTTGTAAAATTCAGGCACACCAACTTCACTGAATTTTGCCTTCATATCTGAATCGCACTGGATCTCAATAACTTCCATTTGCATGTGATTAGGTACTGATTCTATATGTATTGAGAAAATAGAAGAAAACAGACAAAACTTGTTTTCCAAAGATTTCAAATCTGCAAACCTTGTTTCAAATTCACTTCTAAGGCTTAACATTTTTTCTGCATATTTTTGATACAATGCAGTTTCACCTGAGCTTAATTTGTTCATGTTGCATGTCGGAAAGTGCGTCAAATCTTCATTTTTCAACTGCTTTTCTCAAAGAACAAGCTTACATTTGAATGATTTAACTTGGTCACACATGTTCGTAATGATCTGATCTTTTCCTTGCAGTTTTAAATTTAAAGTGTTTTGTTATATCAATCACGAAGGATAAATCTTGCAACCATAATGGATCAGAAAACAAGCTAGTGTCTTGATTTTTAGTTATTAAAAACTGATATATTTCTTCTTTCAAGTCCCAAAATTGTTTAAGAACCTTGGAGCAGGATAGCCAACGTACCTCGGTATAGCAGGACAAACTGGAATATTCTCTTTCAAATTCACTTAGGAAAGCAGAGAACTGTCTCTGATTTAAGCCTCGGGATCTTACGAAATTTATCATTTTTTTGATAGATGTCAACATATTTTCCATGTTTATTACCTTTGTGCATAATACTTCTTGATGTGTAATGCAATGTGTATGATGAATCTTGATTCTGTCATAAGTTTCACTTAGTTTTTTTCGCAGTAGTGCCACAAAACCGTAGTTTTTTCCGGTCATTGAAGGAGCTCCATCTGTAGCTACAGAAGTTAATTTTGACAGTGGTAGCTTGTATTTTTGCAGAACTTCATTAACACAAATAAATATATCTTGTCCTGTAGTAGTGCCGCGCATTGGTACTAGTTCCATTAATTCCTCAAATATGTTGAAATCTGTGTCGCAAGCACGAAGAAACACAGGTAACTGAGCTATGCCCCCAATGTCCGTACTCTTGTCACAGGCAATGGAAAAAGCCTCGAAACTAGATGATTTTGATTTGATCTGATCACCTAAATTGCCAGCCAAATCAGTAACTTTTTCCGCAACTGTATTGCAAGACAAAGAGATTACTTGAAAAGCCTTCACACTTCCAGGACAAACAATTTCTGCAGCTTTAATTAGACATTCCTTGATGAAATCACCTTCGGTGAAAGGTTTCGAGTGTTCTGACAAGACGTAGCTTGCATGCACTGCCACTTAATTTTCTTGTGATACTTTAGTAAACATGAACTGTTGTTTTTTCAGCCCCAACTTGAGCTCTTTCAATTTCTCTTGTCTCATTAATCCTTCGTAATTATCATATTTTGATTTATGTTGTTCATAGTGACGTTTAATGTTGTATAACTTTGGTACACTAATAGCATCATTACATATCAAGCAGATGATTTTATCATTTACTTCACAGCAAAAATACTTAAATTCCCACTTTTCTTGGAAACTTTTACTACCACTTGGTTTTGATGAAGACATACTGAATACAGAGAGCTGAAATAAATGAGTAATCTTTAACACAAAGTAATAGAACATTTTAATAAAAATCTATATTTTTATTGAAACGTCTGTTACATGCCATCAGGGGCATACCTAGAGCATTTGGCACCTGGGACGGGTCCTTTATTTGGCACATGGGACGGGTCCTTTATTTAGCACCCCCCACTCCCCCCACACACTCTTAAATGTAAAAAATACCCACACATTTTTTTTATAATATTTAACATAAAATGTTTTTTTTTAAAAATGAAAGAACTAAAATATATATACCACACACAAATCTATATCTATATATAAATATATAGATATAAATATATAGATATAATTATATAGATATATAGATAGAGATATAGAGATAGATAGAGATAGAGAGAGATGTAACAAAACCCTACCCTGTGCCTGGAATCGAGCACCGACCCTTTAAGAGCTAGCCGGGCACATACACAAGAACAGAAACCTCGGATTAAAAGGATGTATCATTTATTCAGAAAAGGACATCAAGCTGGATACAAATTGAAGATCCTTACCTGCTTTCATGGGGATTTTTCTATAAAGCATTTCGGGACTTTTAAAACATTCGCTCAATTGTGAGACCCAGACGGTAGGGACACTGCATTCATCATACGAATGCAAACTACCGAACAACGGACCACCCTGCTACCTAATTATGCTGTAATTTACCCCCCTGATTGGCGAATACAGTCTTCATGGGAAACACACGAACGCTTTGTTTAAGTTCCTGGGTGGCCGCCATTTCGGGACTTTTACACGTGGCCCTGGTCATCTTAACTCCCGAACAGCGATGTTTTGTCGTCGAGTGTCTGGAACTAAAATCGGACACTCGAGTAGGCGAACACCACTGAGCCGTCCATAGTACCAGAAATCCGTGCCAAAACTACCGAACGCCCTGCCTTTCGGTAGAAAGACTAAGTAGCATATGGGGATTCTGGCGAACGTCAAGCTACACACGGATGGCAAGTCTTTCGGGACTTTTAACTCAAAACTTTAAAGTGCCATATCTCCCGAACCCCTGAACCGAATGAGATGATTTTTTAAATATGTTGTTCCCCCAGAATAGGGCTATATACCAGTTATATGGGGTACATCCAAAACATGGGGAAAAATATGACTTTGTTAATTGGGTTAAAGGCTTATCTGAGAGGAGGATATGTGTGGGATGTACCTTATGTTTTATTGGTTGTTGTGTTAATTATGTGGGTGTCTCCTTTGCATGGGCAGAATCACATAAAAGGAGAGTACCTGCCATTAAAATTCAGTTCTTCTTGACCCTTCAAAACGTAGCCTTGTCTCGTTCTTGAAAGGGGATATGCAGCTTAATCATCTAGCTCTTTTAAGAGCTCTGCCTGACTCTTGCCTTGGATCCAGTGGATGGGAATAAGCAACTCCACCACTACACAGCAACATGTCGGGAAGAAAAGGACGTCTCCAATGGCTGATACCTTCCTACTACCTGGGTAGCTGTTACGAGAGAGAGATAGAGATAGTGTGGCAGAACAGACCTCGCCACGTATTCTTGGAGGGGGCTGCTTGCCCGCCTCCTACCTTCTGACTATGGCCCTGGGATATATAGCATTTGAAAACACTATTTGTGCCCTGTGACAAAACTGGAGATTGTGCACAAATATGACTATTGTCCATATGTTTTATGATTCCCTTCATTTGTTGCACTGTTCCCCATGTGTTTCATCTGTTGGTCCGGCTGGATAGACTACCAGACAAACTGTGGAGTTGCTGGGTGGCCACCATTTTGTGTATCAGAGGCACATGGTGAGAACAATGGATGAAGCACATGGTGAGAACAATGGATGGCGGCCATTTTAACTCACAGACACTGTTTGGACTTTTCTACACGGTGCCATCCCGCCGGTATTTGGTGCACAAAGACATCATGCAGTAGTTTTAAACTATACAATAGGGGACACATTATACAGTAATTATTTTTCATATAACCTGTAAATGTTCTGCGGAATCTGCATTAAACTGTATCTTCCAAACTACTGAACGGATCTGGGTGAATTTTGGATATGTGGTTCACCCAGATCCCCCGGTTCCGATGATATGGGGTTATTGCATGTTTTGGGGTCCCTGTGATATGTTTTATAATACTGTATTTCTCTGCCTGTGATAATTATATTAACCATTGTGTTCAGTAATCATATCACAGGCAGAGGGGAGGATTTTGTGTGGGAGTGTCTGTGTGTATTGTACGGATTGATTGGTTGTATTTCAAAACCCTGTGGGCAGTACTATGTTTGTGGATTGTGAATAAACGAGGCTGTATGTGCCAGTACAGTCAGTTCTGCTTGACCTCAAAACGAAGTGTCGTCTCGTTATTGGGGAAATTGGATTGTATACTGATTGCCAGGAGTGTAAGCTGATTGTATGCTTTTCCTATTCAGCTGCTTACAGCATTCGTATGCTTCTCCGGTTCGGTGGTTGTGGTGTCTGCTGCAGTGCTTGGAGTCCTCAGGAAGCGCTAGGAGCATCCTTCAATGGAGGTACCCAGTCGGGGTGCCAGGTGATCCGTTACACCATCATATACGTCCTTTACAAGTATATACCAGGAACATCTACTATTGGTTACCATAATTGTATATATTACAGGTAACATTCTTCTGGTATTGTGTGTGCGCTTTTACCTTTGATCTCTACACTATAATCAATATATAGGCATAAGTCACTGAAGGGACATCAGCTTAACATGTGTGATCAGCCTAACAGTTTTGGATGTGGGAGTGTTACAGTGCTAATTATTGTTCCCATTGGTTTATGTTCCTTTTGTCCCTGTTTTCCATCAGGTCCAGTGGGTGTGCCTCTGGCCTGAAAAACTGTACATATTCCAGGCTGTAGCAATAAACCTTCAGTTCTGCTTCACCCTCGATCTAGAGTCCTGTCTGGTATTGGGGGAAACTGCTACAAAGGAATTGCTATGCTCTTCATACTCCCTTGAATAACCACTAAGAGCTTGTTCCTGTTCCTGTTTTACTCTCTGGGGAAAGAGGTTCACCCACTGGAACCTGGAGCCTTGTCGTAGGTCCAGGGTGGGTAGGAGACAGCGAGACCCCAACCAAGCTGAGGTGGTTTGTGGGGTCTGCCGTGCTTATGGTGTCAATTGGAGTGCTTGGAGCCCTCGGGAAGCACTAAGAGCATCCTCCAATGGAGGTACCCAGTCGGGGTGCCAAGTGATCCGTTACAACCAATGCAGCACACTGATCTTTGGAAGTAGGCTCTATCTCATGAATGACTGAAGTACATCTGTAGAGACCCATACTGAAAATAGTGTTGCTAACTGTGACGAAATCAACTTCACCTTTTTGGAGGGGACTTTTACCCTGTGACTATGGCCCCTGCAACAGAACGGGCTCTTTTTGTGCAATTGGAACTATATGGTTCGTTTACCGAACAACCGCACGAACAGAGACCATCCTGGAGCTTGTTAACACCTATTAACAACTTGGAACTTTTCTCACCGCAGTGTTCTAATTGTTCATCTGGGTGGCAGCGATTCCTATGAACAACCATCTTGTCCGCATGAATGCAGACACCGGTGTTTGGGCATGAATCTCATGTAACTGAAATCGGATAAAGAAACTCCCAAACACCGCTGAACTTCCATCATCGCCTGTGTTCGTTTCCATGCAGTTTAAAAGGGCACTGTTCGGTGAGATCATTCGTCTAGGTGTAGGAAACAAGCTCCAGGGTAACACTATTGACTCCGTTTGTTAGTTTGCAAACTACCGAACTAGACTGGCCGCAAGCCCTGATTCTCTGGAACTGTTTTGGGCATGAAATCATGCGTGCGTTAGGTCAAAAGAGACTTCCAGGAATATCATGAACCCCTGCTCTGATTTGGGTGATTTTTGGATATGCTGTTCACCCAGATCAGGGCTATCAGGGGGTGTAATATTTATGGGGATATGTTATGTTTTGGGGAGTTTTCCGTACTTTGGGGAAAATGTGTGTTTTTCTGCCTGTGGATAATTAGGTTATTGTATTATCTACCTTAATTGTATCACAGACAGAGGGGGGGGGGGATTGTGTAATGTATGTGGGAGTGTCGTTCATTGTTACTCTGTTTCTATTGGTTTGTTAATTTTGTGTCCCGGTGCCCAACTAGGTCCACCTGGGCATCACCTTTGTTGTAAAACTTGTATAAAAGGCCAATGTGCCCCATTAAACCTAGAGTTCCTGCTTGACCCTCAACATGTAGTCGTCTCGTGATTGGAGGGGAACTGCTATAATCACACTGGGGGTTGCTATACTCTGTATACTCCCCTGGGTTCTAATCACTAGCTCTTCTAAGAGCTGTTCCTGTTACGCTCTCCTGGAGGAGAGGTTTTTCCCACACAGTCCTGAATGTCAGAGGTTCATACAGGGTGGGAAAAACCTCCAGTTAAGCTACGGTGGTTGTGGAGTCTGCGGTGTCCGCTGTGGTGCTTATAGTCCTCGGCGTCAGCTAGGAACCATGCGTTGGTGGAGGTGCCCAGTCAGGGTGCCAGGTGATCCATCACACTAACAAATCACTTTTTTTCATTTTCAGCTGCTCCACACAAAAAGATCGCTTCAGGGCTGTAAAAGATAAAGATAGAGGAGTGCAAATACAAATGTATATGGTATACTTAGAGACACTGGTCAGTCCTTTAGATGTAACCTATATACAAAAAGATCCAAACATAGCATAATACTGTTTTTCCAAATAATATAATAAATAAATGTGGATTTTTCACTCACACTTTGCAGAGCCACGTATAGTAGGCTCTGACTATAGTTGCTCTTTAGTAATTCTCTGGTATATTGAACTCCACCACGTCTCCAGGATTCTCCACTTGGATCAGGATACAGGAGATAAAATAACTCCAATAAAGAGTGGGGATACTTGTTCAAAATTTAATAATATTAACAAATATACAGGGACATATATAAAGTGCATAAAACAAAATAGCAGCACTAAATGTACAAAGACATCTATAAAGTGCATAAAAACCATTGTAACCATTTGCATGCCACAGTATCGGAGACCAGTCCGCCCTTTACATGTGTTGCAGTTGGTAGTTATATCCTTAGTCAGTTGTTGTGAACTGTGGGGCAAGATAATCCCAAGAATATTTATTGAGAACTGAGCTGAACTGAGTTGCCCGTAATGACAGGTACTCCCCCTGCTGCCTGAAAATAGTAAAATATATGTTAAAGTTACAGTTTAAAATAAAATATATACTTAGATCTTATATATATATGATCTAAGTATGTATATATATATATATATATATATATATATATATATATATATATATATATATATATACACACACACACACACACACACATACATAGACTGTCTAAGTGTATTTTAATATTAATATATATATAATTATATATATATATAAATATAAAAATACACGTAGAATGATATTGATTAAAAATATATACATATATATATAAAACACAAGATCCAGCGCACTCACTTATCCACCAAACAGCAACCTCAACGTTGAAAGATTTTATTAGTTTTTTCTAAAAACACCCAATCTAGGCAAAAATAATGGGGGTTTAGTTACATTATATGATCATACATTGCATAAGCCTGCCACAACGTCAATGTACCCCATCTTTGGCAGGTCCTACACTAACAGCCTAATGTCTGCTCTTATGTGATTAACCACTTACTTGAGGAAAAAAATTCCATCTGGGGCTCTCTGCAGTACAAGGCTAAATAGGGCCCTGGGATGAGGCACCTGTGACAGGGAGGGGTGCAAAACCAAGGAGTTGGCTAGACTCCCAAATATATACATATGAAACAAGGGGGGGTTTGGCTGCACTCACCTAAACATGCATAAATGGGGGTGCTGCTGGGGGCCAAATAATACAAAACACAAGATCCAGCGCACTCACCTATCCACCTCTCTCTCTCTCTCTCTCTGTAACGGATCGACGGGCACCCCGACTGGGTACCTCCGTTGAAGGTGCAGCAGACACCACAGCCACCGAACTGGAGAAGCATGTGAATGCTCTCGAACATATGAATGCTGTAAGCAGCTGAACAGGAAAAGCATACAATCCGCTTACACTCCTGGCAATCAGCATACAATCCAATTCCCCCAATAACGAGACGACACTTCGTTTTGAGGTCAAGCAGAACTGACTGTACTGGCACATACAGCCTCGTTTATTCACAATCCACAAACATAGTACTGCCCACAGGGTTTTGAAATACAACCAATCAATCCGTACAATACACACAGACACTCCCACACAAAATCCTCCCCTCTGCCGGTGATATGATTACTGAACACAATGGTTAATATAATTATCACAGGCAGAGAAATACAGTATTATAAAACATATCACAGGGACCCCAAAACATGCAATAACCCCATAAAAAGTATATCCTCGGAACCGGGGGATCTGGGTGAACCCCATATCCAAAATTCACCCAGATCCGTTCAGTAGTTTGGAAGATACAGTTTAATGCAGATTCCGCAGAACATTTACAGGTTATATGAAAAATAATAATTACTGTATAATGTGTCCCCCGTTTAAAACTACTGCACAATGTTTTTGTGCACCAAATACCGGCGAGATGGCACCATGTAGAAAAGTCCAAACAGTGTCTGTGAGTTAAAATGGCCGCCATCCATTGTTCTCACCATATACTTCATCCATTGTTCTCACCATGTGCCTCTGATACATGAAATGGTGGCCACCCAGTAACTCCACAGTTTGTCTGGTAGTCTATCCAGCTGGACCAACAGATGAAACACATGGGGAACAGTGCAACAAACGAAGGGAATCATAAAAAATAAGGACAACAGTCATATTTGTGCACAATCTCCATTTTTGTCACAGGGCACAAATAGTGTTTTCAAATGCTATATATCCCAGGGCCATAGTCAGAAGGTAGGAGGCGGGCAAGCAGCCCCCTCCAAGAACACGTGGCGAGGTCTGCACCACCACAGATGGTATGTGTTACCTATACAAAAATATAATCAAACAGCAAAAACATAGTGTAATCTGTATAACATATAATAAAGGTAAATATTGAAGAGCTGAAACCACTCACAATTTGTTGAGCCGATTAAAAGTTAGCTCAAAACTTATACAGCATACATGTCTCATCCATGGACATAGATTACATTTTCCTTTAGATGGACTCTCTGGACATTCAGGAACCAGGGATTTGGAGTAAAGAAAAATTCTTCCCTTGGATAAATGCTCTGATTGTTGTCCAATCTCATATAATGAGATATAAAGTCAGGAACCAGAATGTTACAAACTGCCATTTGTAACTGGCCCTTTAAATGACAAATTGCCCTGCTTTCCTGGGTTGTGGTAAGCCCCATTTACTGAACCAAGTGGGGGAAAGCCAGCCTATATGCCAGCCTCCTTACCCATGACTATGGCCCCTGGGAGATTGTGCCCCTGAAAACTTATGGACTTTTATTGGGTGTGTGTGGTAATTTAAGAACCGTCTGGGGACATATTGTGACTTTGGTGAACAATGCCCCTTTAAGACTATGTCCCCCAGACATGTAAAATAACTTGTTTCTGGCTTTCCCCCACTTGGTTCAGTAAATGGGGCTTACTAAACCAAGTACCACACAGGCAACCAACACGTGGCAGCGGCCATCTTTGTTCATTCGAACGAGGTCAGCGGTATGTGTAGCCAAATCAATGGAACTGAAATCGGCTACACATTTTCACGAACACCGCTGACCCTAACCTTCTCATACACTCCGTTTTCAGCTTCAGAGACTAAGTCCCGTTCGGCAGTTTGAACTCACTGCTATACTAAGCCAAATTCATGAATGGCCCTGTTCGTGCATTCGAATGGGACTTAGTCATTTTTCTGTGTGAAATAGACCAATCGCACAGCCCAAATCTATGGAACTGGTTTAGGCAGGAAAATGTGCTTGCGGTCGGTCATAAAGGACTTCTGTCTAACCTTTGATCTACTGAAGGGATTTGTATGAGAGTATTTATGTTTAAAGTGTGCTGATTCTGAATATGTAATTTTTATGAAGATTGGACATATATTTTCAAAGTTACAGTGTATGTATAAAAACTGTATTTTTCCTGCTTGTGATAATTATGTTAACCATTGTGTACCATAATTATATCACAGGCAGAGGGGGAGGATTTTGTGTGTAATTGCTGGGAGTGTTTTCTGTAATTCACGTGTGTTATTGGTTGTTCTATAAAACCGTGTGGGTGGTCCTATCTAAGGGAAACCTGCATAAAAGAAAGCCCTTTGGGTGCCAATGAACAGAATGACTTGACCCTCTAACTTGCAGCCTTGACTCATGTTTGTAGGGGACAGCTATAATCACTACAGGGATTGCTATGCTCTTCATACTCCCTTAGCCACTGAGCTTTTGTAAGAGCTCTTGTTCTTGATCCTGCTTCGCTCTACAGAAGGAAGAGGTTCACCTACTGGAACCTGGAGCCTGGTCGTAGGTCCAGGGTGGATAGCAGCTGGCGGGATCCTAGCCCAGCAGCGGTGGTTCGTGGAGTCTGCAGTACTTATGGTGTCTATGCAGTAGTTATGGTGTCTACGGTGCTGATGGTCCTTTGGTGAGCGCTAGGAGCATCCTTTCTACGGTTCAACTTCCAGCCAGCCTGGAGGCAACCGTAACAAAGAAGTAGGAAATATATTTTTAAAAAAAGTTTATTTCTTTACATAAATAAAATAAAAATATGCACAATGCATTTCAACCACTAATATATTGATTATAGCTGCTTGAACAAAATTACCATCAAGAATATATATGCTAGAGCTTTTTGTTAGGCTCAAGAATTATCTTCACCAATTAGATCTTAATGGTGTATAGAATGTGGTCCATATTAAGAATAAAGACAAGAAGAAGACAGCATTCAACATGTATGAAGGATTTGCTCCTTCATACAATTTCACAACCACGGGAGAAACTTGAAGACGTCCAATGTTACCTGGGCCAGTGGACCAGAGTTTAGCAGGGACCCTATCCAGGGCACTGGGGGAGTCTAGGACCCTTGAATTCTCATGAGGTGAGTCCATGTGTAACAGTAAAGGCAAAGAGTGAAGAACGGAGGTATCTTTCCTAGAGAGAGGAGTTAGTAACTGAACTTGACCATCAGGAGTAAAGGAGATAGACGCCTGGAGATGAGAGAGTACGTCAGCATCTAACAGGTTAATAAGACAGGTAGAGGATACAATGAAACGTGTGAGAATGTCTGACCCTACCTGCAAGAGCTTGGTCAGTGGATTGCTACGAGGAGTACCAGCGACACCAACACATGAAACATCAATGTTAGACAGGAAAGAAAAGTCAGGCAGGTCTTGTTCTCTGAGAACACTTGACCCAGGCTGTGCCTGGGTAAACTAGAAAGGTGGTTGGATGACCCTCAATGGGTAGGACCACTGTAGCCAGGGGCCCCCCTTTATCACCTGTTGACACCACCATGACAGGGGTGTTAGACACAGGTTTACCGGTTACCTATTGTAAGAGATCTATATGAGCCTGGGCAGGTCCAGTGTAGTGGCGGTTGGGTGCTGCAGAGTGTGAGGACCTCTGAGTACGCCGGACAGGGTGCTGATGACTATATGTTATATAGTCAGTAGGCTGGTAACAGCTAGAACCGTAATTGTCTGGGTGTATGTGTGTTGCCTGATCATGTGAATCAAGATTATTGTCAGCTGGAGGCAGAGGGTAGGTTATCTGAGGTAAAGCCTGTGGAGGATAAGCAATCTGTGGGTATGCCTGAGCTGCGGCAGGAGGGCAGCAGTACATGGGCTGACCTATCGGTTGGGGCAGAGGTTGGCTTATCCCAGGATGAGAGGGCCTTGAGGTCTGCCACTGTTGTCTAGGCATCCTGGGGTGCGGGCAATCCTTCCTGAGGTGACCTGTGTGGCGAAACCAACCTCGCCACTGTGAACTGGAGAAGCCTGGTTGCTCCCTTTGGACTATGGCCCTGCAGGTTAAACCGTTTATTTCCCCTGCAGAAAGGCTTATTTGTGTGATCTGAGTGCCATTCATCTAATAATGTGCACTCAGATCCCAGCTATCTGGGGATATGTGAAATGTCTGTGTGTTATGTGTAAATGTGACTTTATGTATTTTAAAGTGTTTTGTGTCTTTTGCAACCATGTGCTTAATGGAGTCTTGTGTCTGTCCTGGGAGATAATTGAATTACTTATCTCCAGGATAGAAGACTCTGAAACTGGTTTGGGCCAGAAAGCCATGCTTCATTTAGTCACAAAGGACTTTTACTAACTTTTGAACCCCTTGTCTGATTTGTGCCATTTTTGAATATGTTGTTCCCCTGAATGGATTGATTGTGAATATGTAATTTTATGTGAATGTGATGTATGGTTTTGGAGTTATGAAAGTTGGGTAGAAAGTATGTTTTAACTGTATGTATAATTGAGTTTCCTCTCAGGATAAGGGGAGGGAATATGTGGGATGTAACTGTGATGTGATTGGTTGTTTTGTAACGCCCTGTGGGCTGTACTATGTTTGTGGATTGGGAATAAAAGAGACTGTATGTGACAGTACAGGAGTTCCTGTTTTAACCCTCAAAGTGAAGTGTCGTCTCATTATTGGGGAAGGATTTATTGTATGCTGTTCCAGTTTGACTGCTAGGAGAGTAAACCTATTCGTATGGTTCCTATTCAACTGTCTACAGCATTCATATGCTTGAGAGAAGGTATATGCTTCTCCGGTTCGGTGGTTGTGGTGTCTGCTGCAGTGCTTGGAATCCTCAGGAAGTGCTAGGAGCATCCTTCAACGGAGGTACCCAGTCGGGGTGCCAGGCGATCCGTTACATTGGTGGCAGCGGTGGGATGGCGTCCTAGTGCGAGGTAAAGCAGCTCGGAGATACAGTTCGTGGATTTACAAATTGAGGGCAACGCTAGTACCCGTACAGCGACCCTATCTACAAAAGAACTAACTTCAGCAGAGCAAGCATGGCGTATGACTACACTCAGGAGGAGTTTGACAGAGAGGTTAATGAGGTGCTGTCTACCTTTGGACCCAACCCCCCAGAGAGAGCCGTGCAGCTCGCCAGGAAACTAGTAGGAGAATACCTGCAATCTCTAGTAGATTTGGCCAAAAAGGAGTCCCAGGGAGCTGAAGGTGTCGTCCTTCCTCCCCAGCGGCAGTGTGTGTCCCAGGGAGCTGAAGGTGCAGTCCTTCCTCCCCAGCGGCAGTGTGTATCCCAGGGAGCTGAAGGTGCAGTCCTTCCTCCCCAGCGGCAGTGTGTATCCCAGGAGCTGAAGGTGTCCTTCCTCCCCAGCGGCAGTCCTTCCTTCCTCCCCAGCGGCAGTGTGTGTCCCAGGGAGCTGAAGGTGCAGTCCTTCCTCCCCAGCGGCAGTGTGTATCCCAGGGAGCTGAAGGTGCAGTCCTTCCTCCCCAGCGGCAGTGTGTGTCCCAGGGAGCTGAAGGTACAGTACTTCCTCCCCAGCGGCAGTGTATATCCCAGGGAGCTGAAGGTGCAGTCCTTCCTCCCCAGCAGCAGTGTGTACCCCAGGGAGCTGAAGGTGCCGTCCTTCCTCCCCAGCGGCAGTGTGTATCCCAGGGAGCTGAAGGTGCAGTCCTTCCTCCCCAGCGGCAGTGTGTACCCCAGGGAGCAGAAGGTGCAGTCCTTCCTGCCCAGCGGCAGTGTTTACCCCAGGGAGCTGAAGGTGCCGTCCTTCCTCCCCAGCGGCAGAGTGTCCTGCAGGGAGCAGAGACTGTCAGTCTCGCACCCCAACCACAGGACAAAATAATGAAAGGGGAGACAGCTGGTCCCCCTCTCCACCAGCAGAGAGAGTGTCAGGGAGAGGAGCCTGATACCCCTTCTCCCCAGCGGCAGTTTACAGTTCAGAGAGAGGAGCTTGTTACACCCTCTCTCCAGCGGCAGCCTAACCCAGCAAGGGGAGATGTTACACCCCCCAACAGTGCAGATGGGACTGTAGTCTCTGCACTTACAGCACAAGGGGTAGGGACAGTCGGTCCTGTTCCCCAGCCACAGAGCGGTGTATCCAGAGGGGAGACAGTCGGTCTCTCCCTCCCACAACCAGGCTCCCACCAGGCTACTTCCGTGGTAGCACTGGCATCAGGGCAGAGTACCGCTGGTCTCTGCCCACTCAGCAACCCACCAAGGCAGCCTAACAGTTGCCCACACAGTCGTGGTGAGGCACCTGGACATGGACAAAGTTCTCCTCTACCCAGGTGTAGTAACCAGTTATTGTGGGTGGGCTGTACTGCTGTTTCTGTTTTGTGGGTGGGTTGCTGGACTAACCAGGGCACTGACCGGCAGGAGGTCAGATACCCTGTTAGTCTAGTTGGTAAAGGGGAGAAGTGTGGCGAAACCAACCTCGCCACTGTGAACTGGAGAAGCCTGGTTGCTCGCCTGCTCCCTTTGGACTATGGCCCTGCAGGTTAAACCGTTTATTTCCCCTGCAGAAAGGCTTATTTGTGTGATCTGAGTGCCATTCATCTAATAATGTGCACTCAGATCCCAGCTATCTGGGGATATGTGAAATGTCTGTGTGTTATGTGTAAATGTGACTTTATGTATTTTAAAGTGTTTTGTGTCTTTTTGCAACCATGTGCTTAATGGAGTCTTGTGTCTATCCTGGGAGATAATTGAATTACTTATCTCCAGGATAGAAGACTCTGAAACTGGTTTGGGCCAGAAAGCCATGCTTCATTTAGTCACAAAGGACTTTTTACTAACTTTTGAACCCCTTGTCTGATTTGTGCCATTTTTGAATATGTTGTTCCCCTGAATGGATTGATTGTGAATATGTAATTTTATGTGAATGTGATGTATGGTTTTGGAGTTATGAAAGTTGGGTAGAAAGTATGTTTTAACTGTATGTATAATTGAGTTTCCTCTCAGGATAAGGGGAGGGAATATGTGGGATGTAACTGTGATGTGATTGGTTGTTTTGTAACGCCCTGTGGGCTGTACTATGTTTGTGGATTGGGAATAAAAGAGACTGTATGTGACAGTACAGAGAGTTCCTGTTTTAACCCTCAAAGTGAAGTGTCGTCTCATTATTGGGGGAAGGATTTATTGTATGCTGTTCCAGTTTGACTGCTAGGAGAGTAAACCTATTCGTATGGTTCCTATTCAACTGTCTGCAGCATTCAAATGCTTGGGAGAATTTATTTGTTTCTCCGGTTCGGTGGTTGTGGTGTCTGCTGCAGTGCTTGGAATCCTCAGGAAGTGCTAGGAGCATCCTTCAACGGAGGTACCCAGTCGGGGTGCCAGGCGATCCGTTACAACCTGGTTGATTACAGTTATAGCAGGCCCGAACTTGAGGCCTAGAGGCCTGGGACATGTGTTGTCCCTGAGCTGATGGCACAGGGTATCCAGCAGGAACTGGAGCAGGCCTGATAGCAGGATTATAGAAGGAAAACATCAAAGGAGCAGTTTTCCTCTGTTGGGGCTGACTCTAGGCCCTTTGCAACAAGGAGAATGGTGTCAAAGGGAATGATCCTATATTCTGGATGGGACAGAACCAGACCTTTCTTTATAGGTTCTTTGAGACCTGCAACAAAAGCAGCGGACAACATTTGAGTGTGTGCCTTATTATTAGTGATGCACCGAACGGTTCGGTGGCGAATAGTTCCTGGCGAACATAGCGTGTTCGCGTTCGCCACAGCGGGCGAACATATGCGCGGTTCGATCCGCCCCCTATTCGTCATCATTGAGTAAACTTTGACCCTGTACCTCACAGTCAGCAGACACATTCCAGCCAATTAGCAGCACACCCTCCCTAGCAGACCCTCCCACCTACTGGACAGCATCCATTTTAGATTCATTCTCATGCTGCATGCTTAGTGAGAGGAGGGAAAGTGTAGCTGCTGTTGATTTGATAGGGAAATGGATAGCTAGGTTAGTGTATACAGTATCCACTACAGTCCTGAAGGACTCATCTGATCTCTGCTGTAAGGACAGCACCCAAAAAGCCCTTTTTAGGGCTAGAACATCAGTCTGCTTTTTTTTTTCTGTAATGTAATTGCAGTTGCCTGCCTGCCTGCCAGCCTGTGTGTCAAGCTCACAGTGTATACTGTGCCCACTTGCCCAGTGCCACCACTCACTCACTGGTGTCACAATAGCTTGCATTTAAAAAAAATTAAAAAATTATTTCACTATAATAGATTGAATAGCAGTTAGTTGTCTGCCAGCTTCTGTGTCAGGCTCACAGTGGGTACTGTGCCCACTTGCCCATTGCCACCACTCACTCACTGGTGTCATAATAGCTTGCATTAAAAAAAAAAAAAAAGTTTTTCACTGTTATAGATTGAATAGCAGTTAGTTGTCTCAAAGCGGGTGTGTCAGCCCTACAGCGTGTACTCTGCCAGTTCACAGTGCCACTCATATCTGGTGTCATAATAGCTTGCATTTAAAAACAAAAAACTTTTTTCACTGTTATAGATTGAATAGCAGTTAGTTGTCTCAAAGCGGGTGTGTCAGGCCTACAACGTGTACTCTGCCAACATTTGCCAGTTCAAAGTGCCACTCTTATCTGGTGTCACAATAG